TATCATTTAATTAGAACTATCGTAACTATAATGGAAATTTGCGGTTTAAATTTTTATTCACCGTTTACGTTTTGTAATGGTTTTCAATCACCGAGATAATGCATAAAATCTTTATTTACAAAAATTCTGTACGAGATGCATACGTTTCGGACCAAACTGTGTCCGTCTTCATCGCCAGAATCAGACACTGTCTCCAACGTTGTAAAGCGTGAGTGCTAGCATTTTGTTCACTAAGGCCCAACTATGTCTCATTGGTACCTTTTAGCCTTATCAACTAGCTGTTGTTCCTTCCTTCTCAGTGAGATGATATTCCATATTCTGACTAAGAGCTTTTACTGTGTCTGATCGTTCCCGTGGAACTTTATCCGACATGGGACAGTGGCTACGGGCTGTCTGCCTCCTCCGTTCAAAGCAGGTAGCCCCATGGTGACTGTTATCTTCATCATCCTCTTGTGGACTTTCTGCAGCCATCGCCGTGCTGCTACGCCTCCCTACCCCTTTACATCTACCAGAAACGAATAAGCAGACTTTGTTGTCGCCGACTTTTTGCAGTCTGCTTCAATTCTCTCAGAGCCTCTGAGGCCTTTGGTAACCCGGGAGAAGATCGGGCCGGTAATGACATTCGATAACGGCATGGTAATACCAGAAGAGACATGTAGCTAACTTTTACGATAGACCTCGCCGTAGCCCCAACCCTCCTCATTTCTCATCCGGGCTTGGGACCTGCAACGAGCAGTTATTTTCGATACTGATGTAATCTAATATAAATACGGACGGTATTACATGACCATTCATCATAGGCATCTGCGATCAACGATAAATCGTTCAATTTATTATAACATATAGTACAACTATGTAGTAATTTCATTAAAACAGCATAATGACGTTTGACGGAGAACGTATATCAATTCATATATTTTGTTGTGTGTAGCCATATAACCCGATAGTCTAATTACTAGGCCAGCGTTGGTGTCAGAAAACAGAGAACACTGAAGGAGCGTTGATTTACGTTCATAATGCACCCAAAATGAGGACATGTCGCATAAATGATATAACCGTATAAATTGATATGGCTATACATCCAATTTACACTGTATAGATTATATTAACTAATAAATTTAAGAACGCCGGCACCGTATATTGTCACAGCTTATAGTT